TTATTTTCCATTTTTTAAATGGTCGAACTATTTTTTCAAAGGTTTAGTGTAGAATTTCTTGTCTTTTTCAGTGGTTTTTGTCATTCTTTGAGCTAATTTCGTGGAAAACCGACAGTTTTAAAATTTTTTATAAGGTTCTTTTCTGAACTAATTTGAGTTTTTACTAGATTTTGTGATTTTTTACATTCAATTTTGGGTAGAAACGATTAATTTTTGTTTTTAGCGTCATTTGAATATGAATTTGAGGTCAATTTTCAAGTTTCTTGTATTTTTCAATGATTTTTTTCTGTTTTTCTTGAGGTCAATTTTAACTAGAATTGATTTATTTTTTTCCATTTTAAGGACGGCAAAACAATGATTTCAAGGTTTATTGTTGATTTTTTTCTGTAATTTTCTTTTTCGTGAATTTTGATTCATTTTTTTGGTTGGATTTTGATTTTTTTAGGTTCATTTAAATGTGAATTTAGAAGGCAATCGTGTAATTTCAAGTAGTTTTTTTACTAGATTTTCTGTTTTCTTGAGGTCAATTATAACTAGAATCGATTTATTTTTCCATTTAAGGACGGCAAAACAATGATTTTTTTAAGGTTTAATGTTAAATTTCGTGATTTTTTTACATTCAATTTTGGTTAAAAACGATTAGATTCTAATATTTAGCGTCATTCAAACACAGATTCAAAAGTTTATTTTTTTACATTTCATGCATTTTTTTCACTATTTTTTTTGTGAATTTAAGAAGTTAAATTTGATTTTTCGTCGAATTTTATATATTATCACTGTTTTTGGGTTTTGTTAAAGTAATTTTTGAGCAGGAACGGTTGATTTCAAATTTTTTCTGCGGGTATAAAAAAGGAATTTTCGAGATTTCTGGTTGAATTTTGTGTAGTTTTAACAGATTTTTGTGATTTTTTACATTCAATTTTGGTTAGATTCGATATATTTATTCATTTTAAGTACATTTGATTAGTTGTTTTTGAAGCTCATTGTCGTTTTTATGTAGTTTTCACTAGTTTTTGTGTGTTTTGAGGTAAATTTTGGGAAGGAACGATTAATTTTTGATTTTTAGCGTCATTTAGATACAAATTCAGTTGTTAATTGTTAAATTTTATGTTTTTTTCACGGTTTTTGTGTTTTCTAAGGTTAATTTTGTAAAGTTTCGTCTCATTTTTTCATTCAAAGGCAGTTTAGTTTTAAGATTTATTGCAGTTTTTACTGGTCTTTGTGATTTTTAAAAGTTAATTTTGGGTTTGAAACTTTGATTTCAAATTTTTTGAATAACGATTTTCGACATTTTGCGCAGAATTTTATACATTATCTTACCGTTTTTTGGGTTTTTTAAAAACATTTTTGAGCAGGAACGGTTGATTTCAAATTTTTTTCTGCGGGTAAAAAAAGGAATTTTCGAGATTTCTGCTTGAATTTTGTGTAGTTTTCACTGATTTTTTTGTGATTTTTTTACATTCAATTTTGGTTAGAATCGATATATATTTGTTCATTTGAGGACGGGAAAATAGTTACTTTTGAAGCTCATTGTCGTTTTTAATGTAGTTTTCATTATTTTTTGTGTGTTTTGAGGTAAATTTTGGGAAGGAACGATTAATTTTTGATTTTTAGCGCCATTTAAATACAAATCCAGAAGTTTATTATTGAATTTTATGTATTTTCCGCTAGATTTTTGTGTTTTCTAAGCTTAGTTTTATATAGATTCGGTTCATTTTTCATTTAAAGGCAGTTTAATTTTTCTTATTTTGAGGCTTATATCAGTTTTCATTAGTTTTCGTGCTTTTTTTAAAACCTTAATTTTGGGTTTGGAACTTTGATTTTAAATTTTTTTGAATGACGATTTTTTTGACATTTTGCGCAGAATTTTATATATCATTTTACCGTTTTTTGGGTTTTTTAAAGTAATTTTTGAGCAGGAACGGTTGATTTCAAATTTTTTCTGCGGGTAAATAAAAATGGAGTTTTCGAGATTTCTGCTTGAATTTTATGTAGTTTTAACTGATTTTTGTGATCCTTTGATGTCCATTTTGGATAGGAGCGGTTAATTTTTTCAATTTCAAAACAATTTTGCGAAGGGATTTTCGATTTTTGGGCTTCTCAGGGCGTTTTTTGATCTTTGAGAATTTTTTTCAGAATCTATTGTTTTTTTGTTCACAGAAGATTTTGAACCTTGGCTTTGAAGAATTTATAGTGGAAGATGACTTTTTATTGAGATTTTCGAAGGTTTTTATTCTTTAAATCATTTCTTATAACTGTTTTTTGTGATTTTTCAGTAGATTTTTGAGTGAAAATGATCGATTTTTGATTTTCGCGTCAGTTAAATAATGATTTTTGAAGTTTCCAGTTCAATTCCGTGTTTTTTTCCTTTTTTTGAGAGTTCAATAATGGATGAACTCGGTTTATTTTTTTGAATTTTAAAGACAGTAAAAATCATTTTTTTCGAATTTTTTTCGCCAACCTTTTCTCTGGTTTATACAATTATTTTGTAGTTAAACAGGTTTTTTTTTGGATAATATTAAATTTATGAGCTTTTGAACTGTTTTTTCATGAGTTTTTACAAAAATTGGATTTTTCCTTGAATTAAATTTTTTTTTTCAATGAGAAGTTTGAATGTAAGATAAGCCCAAATCGCTTATTTTTAACCAAATTTTCCAACTTTTGACCTTTTACAAGACACAATTCCAAAGAATCAGTTCTATTTTTTCGTTGGACATTTTTTCCAAGATACATTTTTGCACGACGTCCAAAAGCTCAATGTTTCCAACGATTTTCGAACTTGTTCAACAACTTTTTTTCGACTACAAATCCCTGTTTTCGTTCCCACAAACCCCGTACTTTTGAACAGAACGTTTTTTCTGTCGAATTCCCGAAAAAACTTGAGAATTTTCGAGCTTCACAACGTGTGATTAACCGCGTGATAATCGCATACAATTTTCCTTTATTTTTTGAACTTCTCTGGGAATTTTATAAGCTGTTTTTTCAACTAGAAAGAACTCCCGGTTTTAATGGATTGAATTATTGGTTCGCTAAAGGACAAGTATTTAGAGAAAATGATGACAAAAACATTCTTGGAGGAAAATTTTGATTTTTGGTCGAAATATGTGGACTTTCGCGGAAAATAAGTGGATTTTTGGTAGACTTATAGACATTTTGACTAAAATAAGGGTATTTTCGGTTGAAAAAAACTTCGATTTTTAGTTAATTTAAGTGAATTTCTAGTTGAAATAAGTTTATTTTTTTGACTAAAATAGGTGGATTTTTTTAGTTATAATATTCAGATTTTTAGTTAAAATAAGTGGATTTTTGGTTAAAATATCTGAAATTCTGGTGGGAATGAGTTGATTTTCGACCAAAATAAGTCGATTTTTATTAAAAATAACTGATTTTTCGACGAAATCATGTGGTTTTTGGTCAATATAAGTGGATTTTTCGCTAAAAAATGTGGATTTCTAATTTTAATAAATGAGTTTTTGACAAAAATAAGTTGATTATCGGTTAAAATTGGACATTTTTTTAAAAAACGAGATAGTGTGTTAAACTTAGAGGCATCCAGATGCGTCAAGACAGTCTCATTATCTCTGCGTCTCTATCTTTCCCGTGATCTCTAGCTGTGACTCACTAGATAGTTAAAGAGTATGTAAAACTCGGAAACAAGCAGACACGTTAAGATAGTCTCTGTTTCTCTACGTCTCCATGTTATCCATGATCTCTAGCCGTAAATAAGATTTTACAATTTTTTGTGGCTTTTCTTCACAAATCTCTTGTGGAAAAATGACTTAAAAGCAAAAGCTAGAGAGTGTATAATGCTTGGAGACAAGCAGACACGTTAAGAAAGTTTCTGTTTCTCTGTGTCTCCATGTTATCCATGATCTCTAACTGTGACTTGAGATTTTCCAACTTTTTGTGACTTTTCTTCTCTTGTGGAAAAATGACTTCAGAGCAAAAGCTAGATAGTATAAAGAGCTTGGAGACAGTCAGACACGTTGAGACGATATCTGTCTCTCTGCGTCTCCATGTTTTCCATGATCTCTAGCTGTGACTTGAGATTTTCCGATTTTTTCAATGGTTTTTCTCGCAAATCGCAGTGGAAAAAAGACTCTAGAGCGAAAGCTAGAGAGTATACAAAACTAGGAGACAAACTGACGCGTCTAGACGGTCTGCGTCTCCATTTTTCCTACGGTATCTCGTGTTACCATCAAAATAACTTGACCGCGAAAAAAAAATTAACGCCGACACGACAAGACTGCCCTTTCCATTGGTCGAAAACAACTACAAAAAGACATTTTTGCGCTTTTCCAAAAAGATCGTAGCCGTCTGAAAATTATTTTCCCGGGGCTTACGGTAGCTTCCTACACCGTCGCGTGATTCCTCACAGTTTTTTCTTGAGAAAAAAAGAATTCAATTTCCATGGATTTTGGTTGATTTTGGTGCGTGATCTTTGAAGTTTTTATGGAATTTTCATTGAAAATTAGAGACCATAGAAAATTTGGAGACGCAGATTGACGGAAAGTGTCTAATCTCTACGACTTTTGTACACTCTCTAGTTTTTGAATCGATTTTTCTATCATTTTTTTCCGAAAAATTAATTTTTTTAAATGGTACGAAAGCTCGAAAAATAGTGTGTTATTAGAAAAAAATATCGAAAATGAAAAGAGAGAGCGTGAGAAAATGAAAGGTGCAGAGAAACAGAGAAATTTTCAAACTGTCTGGCAACCCCCAATTTTTTCATACTCTCCCGTCGATTTTCGTCTCTCATTGGTCAGAGCGCTAGATTGTGAACGGTGAATAAAAAAAAATGCTAAATAAATGATCTTTTCAGAAAATCTTAAACCTCTGACAAATAATGATCTTGAAGAACTTGTAAAATTATTAAAGAAACTTCAGAGGAATCTTTATGAGAACGATTTATTCAGAAGGAAAGCTTATTTGACCCGTACGAAAAGAATTAACACAAAGAACATAGAAACGAAAAATTATAGTAGTAGAAATCGTCAGAATTACTTCTTTTGTTGCGGCAAAAAGGGCTGGAATACAACAATTAAACCAATTCTCTAAATAAATCAACTTACATCTGTTCCTACGATCTTTGAGATAGCAACAATGGTGCGAACATCAATAATCTTTGTGTCGGAATGATGATTTGCCACTTCAGCGATTTCTTGATCATCAAACTTGAAGTCTTTCTTGGCAACGGAGATCCCGAGGAAGCGGCCATAATAGTCGAAGATGCCGGATCCGGGATCCCCATTTTCTCCTTGAGACGTTCCAATGAAGAAACCGTCTAAATCAAACAGTTAATATTTGTAAATTCAAGAAATTATACATACAGTATGCTTCCGATACGGTTCCTTCGTTCCATTTCGGCTCTCGCTGTTGATTTAAATTTTTCAAGATCATAATTTGTCAGAAGTTTAAGATTCTCTGCAAAGATCATTTATTTAGCATTTTCTTTTTTTCACCGTTCTAGCGCATTTTTCTCGACCATCTCGACCACATTTTTAAGGTAGCCCATTTCGAGCATTTCCCCATTTTTGAAAATTGTTCAAAATGACACATTTTCAAAGTATTCAGACACAAAATGAATGAAAATAAGCCTTAAAATGGCCTAAAAATGAGAAAAATTGAGGATGGGCGAAAAGGTGCGCTAGAACGGCAAAAATACATATTATTTTCATGGAGCAAACTTTGATTTTTTTCATTAAAAAAATTTGAATTTGAGAGAGAATTAAAGAGCTATGAGAAGAGCTCTGAATTCCGTTGATTCAGTAAATTTTATAAATTTGAGACTTGAAACAGTAAACCTCGAAATTTTCGCTTTAAGAATTTCTCTCTTTCTCTGCGTCTCCATTATCCTTATGATATCCAGCTGAAAGTCAAAATCTTTGAAGAACTTAATTCGCTTTTGAAGTTTCTTTTTGGAATTTTTGAAGTTTTTGGGCAAAATTTGAGATATATCACATTTTACCGTTTCTGGTTCAAAATTTTAGCTCAAACTTCATAAAATAGATGTTTCATTATGTTAAGTTTGTTGAGAAAAAAAAATTATTCGATGATTTTGTTAAGTTTGCTCCATGGAGAAAGGTTTTGAAATTTTAGGTATCACCACTGTTTCACGTTTGTAACAAATTATGTGAATATTTGGAACAGCTGATATTCCTGTTTTCTTTTGTTCGGGAAATGAATACTGATTTACGAACTCCCACAACGAAAACCTACCGTAAGCCGCCGTTCTCACAAAGGCGTTCCGAAAAACTACAAGTGAAGCGGTAAACATTCCCAAGAAGGAAAAAAAAGATTTTTGTCTGATGAATTTGAAGTGGGCGGAGCTTCTCGGATTTGTATTGTACCTGATGATTGTAGTGAGAGAGGGTATATAAGGGGCAGATTTTGAGGAAAAGCTCAGCTCGTTTTCGTTTTCTATTCCTGCAAAAATTCCCCGTCCTCCTTGGGGTCCGATCCAGTGACCTTTTTAGTGATAGTTGGAGCTTTCATTTTTGTTTTAGGGCTCGATTTTCTATCTCAAAAAATGGCAAAAATGCTCCTGCCCTTCTTGGGATCCGATCCAGTGACCCTTTTAGGGATAACTTGAGCTTTCCTTTTTTGTTTCAGGCCTCTGAAAGGCTTCGATTTTTTTTTCCGCTAGAAATGGCAAAAATCTCTTGTTCTCCTTGGGATCCGATCCAGTGACCTTTTTAGTGATAGTTGGAGCTCTTATTTTTGTTTCAGGACTCGATTTACTTTCTTTAGAATAGGCAAAAATTCCCCGTCCTTCTTGGGATCCGATCCAGTGACCCTTTGAGTGATAGCTGAAGCTTTAATTTGTCAGTTAGGCATCCAAATGGCTGTAGAACGAGCATTTGAGTTTTTAATAAATGGCAAAAAATTTCTTGTCTCCGAAGAGGGTCGATCCAGTGACCCTTTGATTGAGAGTTAGAGCTCTCATTTTTGTTTCAGGCCTCTGAAAGGCTTCGATTTTTTTTCCGCTAGAAATGGCAAAAAATGTTCTGTCCTCCTTGGGATCCGATCCGTTGACCTATTTAGTGATAGTTAAAGCTTAAATTATTGAATTTGCTTCCAAAACAGTTATATAAAATTCATCAAAAACTAGTTCTGATAATTATGAAAGAAGATTAAATTGGAAATTTATACTTTCAAAAGATCTTTGGCTCAAAAATTAGGCTAAAACCTTGTCAGGCTTCTCAGAAACACATCATCCAGTCATTATTAGGATAATCTCGGAAAGAACACGAGAATTATTGGCTTGGTTAATTTTTTCTGAGAAGAAAATGATTCAGAGAAAGAAAATTGCCCATTTTTTGATTGTGCTAATCAGTTTTCATGTGGAAGGAGAAGCATACGGTCGAATTGAAAAGTGGATTTCTTGCTGAATTTTTTAAAGGTGACTTCAGAAATCCCACTCAAATTTTCCTTAAAAACGAAGGTTTTTGAGCTTTTTGATTTTTAGGATTGATTTTTGAAATAGGGGAACACTTTTTCGAAGTTTTAAACCAATTTATCTCATTTCGAAGCGCATTTCTGGGGTCCCAAATCGTAGTTTTTATGCTTCAAAAAAAATTACATGCTTCAAAATGGCCATTTTTTTCAAAAAGTTGATTGAAAATGAACTAAATTTTGAGTTAAAACAAGCTTATGATGTTTTTTTGAATTACCATTTTTTTGAAAAAAATGTAATTTTTTTGCGTCGAAAAAGCATCTAAATTTTGAGTGAAAAACGAGCGAAAAAAACGTTTCAAAATAACCTTTTTTTCTCAAAAAGAGTTACTTTTTTTACCTCGAAAAAGCATCTAAATTTGAAAGAGAACCAAGTGAAACAGTTAAAAATTAGCCATTTTTTCAAAAAATTAATCGAAAAGCATCTAAATTTTGAGTCATCATCATCATCATTTATTCAATACGAATAATAATACAGTTCAAGGGGCCGAAAAAGACCTCTAACAGAACCAATTTTTTTAAAAAGGGAAATTTAAACATTGAAAAACAGCAACAAACCGTTTAAAAAGTTAGAAGATATTTTAAGAAAGTCAGCGAGAAGATGAGGGTTGTTTTCTAAATAGATTTTTGAATCGCATAGAATCATTACATAGATCAAATACAACATCGGGAAGGGAGTTCCAAACATTAATTATTCTGATACTAAAAAACGAGGCAACGATGTTACTATTATGTCTTATATTTGAACGTAAATAATAGCGATGGCGACGCAGCGCACGGACACGAGGGAAAAAGAAGAGACTATCGAAATCAATGGGGACTTCTCTAAGTACAATTTTATAAACAAGAGACATGTCAAAGATGAGGCGTCTTGTCTCAAGAGTTTTGAGACTATTTTCAGATAAACAAGTGAAATAAGAGTGGTAGGGCAAGCCACAACGTTGGTAAGCTCGGAAAAGGAAACTTTTCTGAACACCTTCAATCAAACAAATATTGTGAGAGTCAATTGGAGCATAGACTACAGAACAATAATCAATAATAGGACGAATATACACTTCAAAGCATTTTAAATACAATGAAAGCTCAGTGGATCGAAACACGTTAAACATAACATTTATGCGACTTAAACATAACATTTATGCGACTTGATGATGATGAAAAAATTTTGAGTAAAAACAAGCGAAAAACGTTTCAAAATCTCAATTTTTCGCCCTTTTTCTCTATTGCTCTTTTCTGTTTCGAGAACTCGAGGAAGTAGAAGAGAGAGAAAAGAAAAAAGAACAGAGAAAAAAGAGTTGTTTACGCGGAAAAACTTTTTGGAAAAAGTGGGAGGAGAGACGAAAGTTCTCCTTTTTCCCCCCTGTGTTGTCCCCCCTTCTTTTTTTTATCTGGCTTTTTCTGCTCTCGTGCGTCATTTCGTGCTCCAGTCTTGCCTTGTTTTCCCTACTTTTTTTGTGGATTTTATCGATTTTCCACGGTAGAGAGCAGTTGGAATCGACAAGAAAGACTGGAAATCGATGGAATTTTCAGAAATCGGGACTTTTTTCGATTTCTTTTGATGATTTTCAACGATTTTGATGCCCCTTTTGAAAAAAATTGGATGATTTGAGCTTTTTGTATTTTTTGACACTTTTTAAACCAATTTATCGCATTTCAAGGTCATTTTTTCCCGGTTTGAAATTTTTTTTTATGTTTCAGTAGTTCACAAAGCATATGGAGTGCATTATTTTTCATTTTTTGGGTTTTTTCTCAATTAAAAGCAGTTGAAATTGAATTTTTCGATTTTTCGTTTTTTGAAAATTTCAATGATTTTAATTTAGATCACTTTTTGAAAAAAATTAATTTCGAGACTAATTTTTTTGCATATTTTAAGAAATAATGTTGGTTTTTAATGTAGTTTTTTTAAGCAATTTATCTCCTTTTTAGGCCAATTTTTTTCAGGTTTAAAAATTTCATTTTTAAAAATTTTAATGGTTCATCAAGCATTTGAAGTGATCATTCTAGGTTTAATTTTTTTGTTTAAATTTTTTTAATGAATTTATTGATTTTTTTCTCCAACAAAAAGAAGTTCAAATTGAAAAAAATACTGAAAAAAATGGCCCAGGAATCGTTGCAATTTCATCCTGGAAAAATGAGATGATTTTCGTTTTGAAGAAGCAGAGCTATTTTTTTGAAGTTATTCTAATGAAGGACTTGTCGCTTAGGAACTTTATAGTAATTTTTAATAATTTTTTTGAGATTTTCAAGGATTTCTTGAGGATTTCAAACATTTTTTTGAAGGTTTTTCGCACCGATTTTTTTTCTCATTTCAAGGTCAATTTTTTTCAGGTTTGAAATTTTATTTTCAGTGTTTTTTTGCGTTATTTTTTTGCTTCTGAAGTAATTTTTTTCAGCTTATATATTTGTTTTTTTAGCTTTTCTTTCGAAAAATTTGGAGCTTTTGGTTATTTATATTATTTTTAAATTTTAAGGCAATGAGCCCCTATTTCAAGAAAAGAACTTATTTTCCTTATTTTTAGGGCATTTTTTTATGTTTCGATAATTTTTTTGTGGTCTTTTTGAGTAGATTTTGATGATTTCTCATATTTTTTTCTTGGTTCAGTCCGCTTATTATTTGTATTACTTCATATTTCAAAGTGAATGAATACGTTTTTTTCAAGACATGAAGCTAATTTTATGATTTTTAAAAGTACATTTTCTTTTTTTATAAGCAATTTTTTTATGTTTCAATACTTTTTTTAATGGTCTTTTTGAGTAGATTTTGACGATTTCTCACCTTTTTTTCTTGCTCTTTTGCCTTCTCTGAAAATCCATTATATTCAGTATTTATCCAAAAAGTTGATAATGAATTCAGGAAAAACGTCATCCTTACATAGTTATCTAAATATATTCTTTTTTATTTCTCCACGCAAACCTCACAAATAATGCGTCTGTGTCATTTGCAG